AACCCGCGGCCTTGGTGTTATCAGCACCGCACTCTACCAAGTGAGCCACGGGCCGGCCCTGGCCTGATCTTTTTAAAAATGGTCCTTTTTCTCCTCTTCCTCCCTATTGTTAAAAACCTTGAAAGCTACACTGAGGAGGTAGTGTACGAGGGCCATGCCTGTAGGGTAGTTTGGATCTATATGTGTGTATTTATGTAGGGCTTCAGAGAGGCAGGTTAGGAACTTGCTGGGATTTTTGGTGGGTCTCTGTGTGATCTCTCTAAGCTTGTCATAATTGACTGACTTGTGTGTAGCCTTTTGGAGGCTGTGAAGTAGGAGTGTGATCATATTATCCTAGAGATCCCAATCCCCGTGGCTGGCCTGGTAGGCCCAATTTGGATCCATGCAGGGAACAGTGATGGCTCCCACAGGCTGCATATTATTTTGAGCATATACTTCATCTGCCTGCTGGGCCGCTATGCAGACCTGCTCCCTCTCTTCAGGGGACAGATATGTGTCTGGGTCAGACTGGAAGGATCCCAGACGTTTTTTGAGTTGGAAAAGGTCCGAAAGAGAAAAGGGGACATGAACTCGGACAATCCCGCCATCCCAGCCACTTCATAGAAGGGGGTATAAAGGAGCCAGGGCTGAGGACGAAGAGAGGGAAAATGTGGAGGAGCTGGTGAAGGATTTGGAGTGTAAGGAGGTAGTCGAGGTGGCCCGTACAGCGAGCAGAGTAGGCTGACGGGTTAAAAGATTAATCTGAGTCCAGAAGGGGAGGTCAGGCATGAGCTAGGAGAATTTGAGACGTAGGACAGTTTTGACAGAGAGAAAGCATTCAGAGATAGAAAAAGGCTTGAACATAAAGGAATCTCTCCAACTTTTGCCTTCTCGGTGAGCATCTAAATAGAGAGTGCTATCTTGTGGCCACTGGGATCCACTGTAACAGAGGTGTTCGAGTTTTAATGTCTCCCTGGAGGCTGAGAGGTTGTCCAGGAGACAGCGTGGAGGCATAGAGCACAGAGTACAGTAGAAAACAAGACGTTTAGGTTTAATGTCTCCCCAGAGGGCAAGAAATTGGCCAGGAGACGGCCCAGAGGCATAGAGCATGGAGGTTTGGATCGTGAGGATCCCGTGTAGAGGGTGAGAAAGGGAATGGGCAGTCCTGGTAGAAGAGTGTCAGCAGACAGTCCTCTTTGGTGTCCACCTTCTTTTCAAGAAAAAAGCCATGACCAGCTAATGAAACGTCCTCAAATAGCTGGGGGGCACGAGAAAAGTTCCCTCAGCAGGCGCCTTGGCTTCGTAGAGACCGTAGTCGTAGAGAGTAGTCGGGTTAACTCGTAGAAGCAGGACAGACACACTGACTCACCCTGAATTGAGGCTGATGTTGGATGCGTTGGTCTGTAACGGCAAAAAGAAGAGAGTCCCGGAGGTACCTGGTTTGGCAGATCTGGAAAGGGCGGCCGAGGGCCAATCAACCCAAGAGAGAGGGGATCATCCAACAACCTTCCCAGGTTTCGGGTTTTGGCACCAAAATGAAAGAAAGTGAGCAGAGATGCCACGTACTGTTCAAGCTTTATTTAAGGAAAAGAATCTGCCGGGCTGCGCTCAAAGTGATGGGCAGCCTGGGGCTGCCCTCAAAATGGGGGACAGCACCAGGTGTGGGGGTGGTAGAGCTTATACAGGGTGCCAAGAACTGGCTGATATAATCAAGGACGGGCATTATGCTAAGGTGGAAGCTATGCAACCAGGGTGGAGAACTATGCCCTTGCAGAAGCAAAAGGGTTTCTGTTTAAGTCATGAGGCTTCTTGTAAAGGGAAGGGGGGGGGGGTGTTTGGTGTTGGAGTGGAAGACAAGGCCGGCGGCTATTTTGTGCACAGTGGGGCCAGTCATGTCCAAGATCCATCAAGTATCTTTAAAAAATATACCTTAAGAATGTTAGGCAAGTAAATACTTGTAGCTTGGGATAATATTTCTAATGAAACCAGCAGATTAGTAATTTAGAAATTTGTCTTTCAAGTCATTTAGGCAAAGGTGAAGATAATGTACTCAGTAAAGCTCTGTCATTGACTCAAAGTGACTAATGATAGTGCAGGCACTGGTATCAGGGATGAATGGGAGAATGAAAAGAACAGCATTTCTTTTTTTTTTTTTAAAAAAAGATGACCGGTAAGGGGATCTTAACCCTTGACTTGGTGTTGTCAGCACCACGCTCAGCCAGTGAGCGAACCGGCCATCCGTATATATGGGATCCGAACCCGGGGCCTTGTTGTCATCAGCACTGCACTCTCCCGAGTGAGCCACGGGCCGGCCCAAAGAACAGCATTTCTAAGTTAGGATATTTTAGTAGTTTTATATTACTTCAATACATATGTGAAAATAAAGTATTAGAAATAGCATAAAAGTACATTGCATATTAGTATTACTAAGTTAACTGAAATTTACTCCTATGCAAACATTGCCTAAATATTCTAGCTGTATAATAATTAGTTGTTTCTGAAAATATCTGAATAGAATTGGAAAAAAATAATATGCCAAGCAGACTGTATCAGAATAAATATTTATTGACATTTGAAGCTTTATAAATACCTTTAAATTGAAATGTTCAAATGTGGGGAATTACAAAAATCAAACAAAAAACTTTCCCCCAAAGTAAGTATAAATGAACATTTAAGATCAGTAGTGCTACCCACCTTCAGAATAAAAAATGTCTGTTTGGACACATACAAGTAATTATTTTAAATGTCACTCAGATATTCTCCTTTACAGTTACAACTCCAACAAAAACCTAAGAGGCTAATATATCCAGAAAACTGTTTTCATCTCTTATGAGTAGCGGTATACAAATATATTTCCATCTTTTTGTCCAGCCAGCAAATGAGAATCTGTACCTGACCATTTAACAAAAGACCAATTTTGGTCAGAGACAGGTGGAAGGAGAGCAGTACAATCACCTAGAAGTAAGTCCCAGATGGCAATTGTTCCAGAAGTCAAAACTGCTGCTGCATGATGATCTTTCACATCACCTTCCAGGAACCTGATAACAAGCAAAGAAAAGATCATGTAGATCACATATCAAAAATATTAAAAAAAAAAAAAAAAAAAGCCCAAACCATGCTCCCCAAAGCATCAACTAGAACAAAAGTCCCTGCAGCTATGAATGCCTACACCTGCAATCCTCCATGATTGCCAGCTGGTGTGTTGCGGTTTGGGAAGTAGTCACATGTCCAGTCCCTGCCTATCTCTCTGATGTATCTTGTGCCACTTGCACTTGAGCTCACAGTGGCCTTCCTCCCCCTCTTCACACCAGCTGGATTCGGTCTCACCTCAGTGTCTTTGATCTTGCTGTTCTCTCTCCTGGCAGGCTTTATCACTGGATCTCAGCATGGCTGCATTCTCATCATCATTCAGGCTTGTCACCTCCATAGAAAGTCCATCCCCATCAGCTACCTGAAGCAGCGCACACACATACTCTGCCTCCCTCTCTGTTACATTATTTGTTCTTATGGTCACAGCACTTTTCACTATGTGAGATTATCCTATCTGGATATTGGGTGGGTATCTCCCCCACAAAAATGTAAGCATCATGAAGCAGAAATCTGGTTGCATTTTTAAGAAAGGGGCTCCGCAGTCAACTATCTGGATTTTAATTCTAACTCTACAATGTAATGACTGTGCAACCCTGGGCAAGTTATTTAGCTTCATCAGCAAAATAGGGACGATGATAAAAGCACCTACTTCATAGGACTATTGTGAGGCTGAATGAAACAGTTCATATAAAAAGCTTAGCACAGTACTTGGCACACAGGAAGTACTCAATAAAAATTAGCTATTATTATTACTGCAGTATCACCAGCACTTTGCAGAGTACCTACCCAATCATAGTCAGGCTTCAATGAATACTCTCTGAGTGAACTGAACAATACTTTTAATCCCTGGCTCCCACCCACCCAACTTTGTGTAGCTAACTCCTAACTCATCTTTAGAAACTCCATGAAGTCTTCTTTGACAGTATCTCCCCAACCCTCCACTGCCAATAAAGATACCCCTCCATCCTTGTGCTCCCAGTGCAAGCCTCATGCATAGCACTGTGTGCACGGTACAGTAGTCACTACTATTCTAACTTTCATGAGATTAGAAAGAATAGTGTTATGCTACGGTCTGAATGTGTCCTCCCCAAAATTCATTTGTTGAAACCTAATCCCCAATGTGATGTAGGTGGGGCCTTTAGAAGGAGATTAGGTCGTGAGGGAAGAGCCCTCATGAATGCGATCAGTGCACTTATAAAAGAGGCCCCAGAGATCTGCCTTGCGCCTTCTGTCACGTGAGGACACAGTGAGAAGATGATAGTTATGAGCCAGAAAATGGGCCCTCACTAGACACCAAGTCTGCCAGCACCTTGATCTTGGACTTCACAGCCTGGAGAACTGTGAAAATAAATTTCTGTTGTTTATAAGCTACCTAGTCTACGGTGTTTAGTTTTAGCAGCCCAAGTGGACTAAGACATGCTTCCTACAGGATTGGTATTAAATAGGCTTTTAAAGTTTGCTGAGCAAATGAGTTTTAAAAGTGACAAAGGAAATGATTGACCAAGCAGTTATCTTTATCCTCAACTGCTAGCCCAATGACTATGGTTCTCTCTTCATATCCAAGAAAGCAAGTTCTATATGCAAGCACATATTGCAGTTGATAGTTCCAAGGTTCTTGTTAAGAACATCTGCAGAAGGGCCACAGCTGGCTAAGTGCAAAGAGAGAGACAATGCCTTTTAGAACATGCTCTGATCAAGCAAGCTTTGTACAAGATCCAAAGAAACATGCGAGAGAAACAAACTATCAAGTTTCCTTACTCGTGAGTTATTAAAGCCAAATTTTGTGATCTTGGTTTATTAGGTCTGTTTTCAATCCTTGCTGCTAATTTCAAACATTAATAAAGGCAGTCTTTAGGAATTACATGTTTAGATGTTGCTGGGTTGACCTAACAATATCAGCATCACTTCAAAATTTTATACAAGTTCAGAAAACTCTTGGGATGCCAATAACTGTGTCATTGGCATCAGTCAATAAATAAATAGTTAATATCAACTGTCTGTGTGATAGAGGCTCAGTCAGATTTCAAAGTGAAGATGTCTTCCTAAAGTACATTTAAAACTTTCTTAATTTAGACTTTATGGAAAGAACATAAATTACAGTTTTTTTGTAGAACATGCATTACAGTTTGTATTTAAAATGCTTTCCGTATGGGAAAAAAGAAAACCAGAGATGCTATTATACTTGATTAAAAGTGCAAAAAAAAAAAAAAAGCAAAAAAAGAAAAAGAGAGAGTGAGAGAAACAGACAGAAAAAAAACCCCAGAGCTTGAATACACATAAAAATATGTGTAACCCCATACTGGTGGGGTTTAGAGAATATGGGAGCTGGGGTTTGACTCAAATCCACTAAACTTCATCCTGCTTCTTAACATTCTTATTATGATCTGCAGTATTTCATGTTTTCCATTCATCTAAGTAACAGAAATACCTAGTTTTTGTATTTACACACTGCCTTTCAAAATGTCGTATCCGCTGAATAGCAGCAAACTTGCCTTCCAGCCTGCCCCTGAGGAAGACAGCACAGCGTCACACCCACATTCAGGGTCGTCTTAGGGTTCATCGCAATCAGCTGAAACACAGGGCTTCCCAACGAATCACTCTCTTTGGCACAAGGATGACTCAGAACAACAAACATGAGCCCCTAATTTAGGAGGAAAATTTATAACTAAATAGATCATCATCAAGAGTATGTTGGGAAAAAGAAAGGGATGTCAGAGACAAAACCAAAGAATTATAAGAATGATCAATAGGCTCTTAAGTATCCAGGATTTTAAGCACTGGCTTCATTTTTTAATAGGCAGGAACTGTTGAGATTATCACTGGGCTGGACTTCTGGTTTCTTTAGCAATAAGGCTCCCAATGTTTTTTTTCAGCCAGTCTTGCCAGGCATGAATCTAGGTCACTCATTAATTTCCTCCACCTTAGATACTACTGCATCTCATGCCATGCATTTGGGGAAATGTTGGTATAGGGAAAGAGGACATATAAACACGTGCAGGGGATCCTCGAATTAGAAATATTCATTTGTAAGCTGGTTTTGGAAAGTTCATAGCAGATTTTCCCATAGAAATAGTCTTGTAAGTGGTGTCTTAGGTCAGCCCACAATAGCCCATTTAAAACTCAGACACTGCTACTCTCTACTAAGAGGGAGAGTGACCAAAAAAAAAAAATACCATCACTCATGGCTGTTTGTGTGGAAAAATGTGTTAGAGAGATGTGTCCCAGCTTTAAAATTATAAGTTCTAATAATAATATTAACGTGTGTGTATATGCACACATACATATACAGATTTATATGTTGAAAGTAGTTCTCTTTGGAAGTAAGAAGGGGAAAATTAAACTACAGGGCCATTTTAGAATTAGTATTCATTTTCTACTTTATACATTCCTAGAATGATTGAATTTTTAATGAAAATGAATTACTTTTATATTTAGAAAACAACCAAGAATCTTAAAATGTTAAATGTCATATGCTTAACAAGGGGTGGACAAACTGTGGCCAACAGGCCAAATCTGGCCCAATGCTTATTTTTATATGGACCATGAGCTGAGAATGTTTTTCACAGTTTCAAATGGTTGGAAAAAAATCAGAAGAAGATGATTTTGTGACACTTAAAAACTATATAAAATTAGGGCCGGCCTGGTGGCGCACTGCTACAGTGCGTCGCTTGGGAGTGCGGCGGTGTTCCCGCTGAGGGTTCGGATCCCACATACAGACCGGCCGCTCACTGGCTGAGCAAGGTGTGGGCGCAACGCCGAGAGTTGCGATCCCAACGCCGAGAGTTGCGATCCCATTGCTGGTCCCGGTCCGGTACGGGCGTGACACTGAGGGTTGTGATCCGTTGCCGATCACGAAAAAAAAAAAAAAAAAAAAACCAAGAAAGGTAAATCATTCCACAT